AAAAGGTTTAAACAGACAATAAACGTTGTTTAAGTGTTGCAGTTGTGTAAAGCTTTTGTAAACCGAAAATAGCGTTTATGAATAAAGTTACACAACCTTTTGTAAACCTATTTTTTTTTTAATCATTATGAATAAGAGGATTAAGAATGTGCGAACTTTAAACAATATAGATTTTTGCACGTGTTTAAATAAACAGTGGAAAAACTGAATATTACTTTGTGAGTTCTTGATTGATTCTTACTTATTTATTACAGTAAATTTTTCTGTATTTTTAATTAGTACAGCAGTCATCGTCTGGACAGAGTTATATAGTGAATACTACAGAAAATGATCGGTCTACGTGTGCTGTTGGGTATATCTCTGCTAGTCGTCCTTATGAATATTTTGGCGGTTAAGGCGGCATCAATAAGAGGTATTTAATGGCAACAATTAAATAAAAGATAAATATTTTAATAAAATTAAAATGAGCTCGTGGCAGGTTCAAAAAATTGCTTGAAGTATTTTTGCCGGAAAATATTTAAATATATATATTTTACTTACAAGAGTTTTTAACATGCAAGTATATTTGTAGTTTGCTATCAACCTCCTTTATCTGGTGGGTGTTATGCTCTCTTTCGGCGCTACTACTATAATCCCGCTTCGGGGAGGTGCCAAATATTTACTTACGGTGGCTGCGGTGGAAATAGCAATAACTTTGTAACTCTAAGGGCTTGTGTAGCTAGATGCGGTGGAAAGTGAACAACAGCATATACACGGATTTTTTTTTTTTAACTTAAACCTAATTCCTTTTACGTACGGTGGCGGACAAAAAAAATAGGAATGCGATATTTTAAATAAACTTTGGTAATTTTTTATTTGTTTTTCAATGTTTATTATTTTCCGAGTATATTTCTGCCATTAAAAACAACTTCTCATAAAAATTTAATCGCCGTTCGCAGTCGGCGTAAAAACTGTAGGTCCCTCGCCTTTGTGTGACAACATAAGAAGCATAACATAAGGTAATGCTCAATTTCTACAAAAGTTGCAGTTACGTTAATCTTTATTTCAATACGCTGATCAGTGTTGCCATTTGAGCTCTTTTCTGGCTAGAATCCGTTTTTTTTTTTTTATTCGGGTTTAGTCGGGAATCGTGGCTTGTAGCTTCTAGTTAGCTAGTGTGTGTCAATATTTTCGGAATTTTTTCCATAATATATTTCTCACCTTTTTTTCAAAATATAGGAAGTCGCACTGCCTTCTTGCAATCTTTCAGGAGTTAAGTATTTGAGTTAATTTCTTTGATGTGACCGTGCCATCACCCTTTCTACATTTCTATTCTTTACTTCCCAAGGTAATTTTCATGTCGCTCTCTCTTCTATATATTTATTAACTTGTCGCGCAAAAAAAAGTATCGTTAGAGTAGTAGAAATTTTAATACAAATCAGTATAGAAAGAGGCCATTGGCGACAAACGGTGGTAGAGTCAAATCAGAAGAAAAAGTACATACATTGCTTTATTAAAGAACTGATATTCTTTGGCAAGTCCTCCCCAAACAGTGTTGCCGTTTTAGCCCTTTGGTGGCTAGATTTAGCTACCATATATTTTTTTTGGCCACATAAATTTAAAATTGCCCCTAGCCCTTTTTTTAGCTCTTTTTAGAATTTATTCATACTTGGCATGAAAAAGTTGTATATGCTTAATTTGTTTTTTTTTTTGCATTTATATAAGAGATGAATTTTTAAACTAAGAAAGACTGATATATTTACATATATGTATTGTATGCTCCTTCCCTGCAAAAATCGTTGGACCATGTAGTCTATTTGTGGTATATTGGAGTACTTACAAAAGTGTTCCTCTGTCATGCTGTAGCGGACCAACTCGTGTCTCTGCACCAGCTTATTGTTACCCGATCACTGGTCGTGTTTTAACGAAACGTGATTGAAGTTGAGCATTTGGAAGCACATTTGCATGTCTGGCTGTAGCCGAACGTGTACAGATGCTTGCTGTTACTTCTTAGCTCCCAGCATGTTCGGGTTCGAATGTCGTCAGAGGCAACATGGAATTTTCAATTTTTGTTTTTGGTTTTTATTAATTTCAAAAAAAGCTTCTGTGAAGTGAAGAACAAAAGCGTGTACAAATGAAAAAATATAACAACAATGTCATTGGAGTATGTTGGAGTAGTTTTGTGCTACTCTGATGTAATGCAGAGATGGAGTATATGGTCCTGCCCTAGGACATCGCAATGTTAATTGGACCATATTTTTTATATGAATTGTTGGTTAATTTTGGAGTGCTCCATGGTCCTTCGGGAGTACTCTTTACATGCATGCATGGAGTAGTCGCGATTTTTGCAGGGCTACGCTTTTATCCATACATACTGTAAAAGTGTTGGGGCTGTTAACTTATCTGTTAACGATTCACTGGTGCCGTGAGTGGTGAAATTATCTCAATTTTCTAAGTAAAAAGTATTTTGGCGGATATTTCTTGCACTATATGAGTCAAAGCCGTGTTTGTGGAAGATTACGTTCACGATATTGCAGTTGTGAATTACAAAGAAAACAATGCTTAGCAAAATGCTAGAATAATTATGAAATTTCGGCTCTAATCATTTCGATCTTTCCTCGACCTCTTTTTTAAAGAAATAAATATTGTACCAGCATGCTGGTAAGTTATATGCTTCGAGCCTGATAGTATTTACAATCACTTGCTGGAACCAGCAAGCTGGTGTCGTATATTTCCCCTTTTATACAAAAAGGTTTTTGGTTGGATAAAATATTAGCTTTTTTCCAGAGTTCATTGTTTTTATATACCATTACTTATTGAAAATGTTTACGTGTATACTTATATATGTATATGTAAGTAAAAAATTCTAGCTACCATTTTTAGCCACAACGACTTTTTTTAGCTCTTTTTTAGCCCCGTTTTTAAAGGAATTTAGCTACCACTAAAAATTATGCGCGGCAACACTGTCCCTAAAACGCTAATATTGCTGAGAGAGAGAGAGAAGGCATCAGACGTCAAATGAAATAAAGCGAGCAACATACCAAAAAATTATTCTTTCGTTAATTTGGTTTGAAACAGGTGGAACTTCTCAAAGTAAATCCAAAAAATAGCGGTATACATACGTATAATAACTTGCAGATAGATAGCGGGACAATGAACTGTGTAAACCTTGGCGAATGTGATAGCACGGCATTGAAATTGCGTAATTAATTGTACATTTTTATTATTTAACTTTTTATACGAGTATTTATGTATGTATAACTAGTTTCAAGTACTTCTACGTAAATACTTACGTACCCGCTTTCAATAAGCTTCGTTTTATGTTTGAATAAGTGCAACCTCTTCGCAATCGTTTAGGGTTTTTGTTAGTGTAAAATATTTGCGTGGTATTTCGCGAAGGCGATTCGATTGTTTAAAAAATAAGCTCACTTGCAGGTTAAGGTCGGGTGATAGATTCATACATTTTCTCCAAATGTTTTTCACAGCATTACAACAGCTTTAGCGATTACGTAATTAAAAAAGTATGTAATCAAAATTGTTTTGTTTCTTGAATTGAAACTTCTTTCCAAACAAAAAAGCGACAAAATCATTGGGCTCTAATTTCAAGGCCAAGCTTTGGATTTAGATTTAGATTAAGGTTTAGATTTAGATTAAGTTTTAGATTGCCATTAAGATTAAGTTTAAGGTTATAATTAAGATTAAGATGAATAGATAATAATAATAATAATAGGTTGGCGCTTACACACACATTAGTGTTTGGCCGAGCTTCTCATTCAATTTGTGGCGTGTGCCTTGATGTTGTCACACAAAGGGGAGGGACTTACAGTTTTACGCTGGCTCCGAACGGCGATCGTACTTATATGAGAAGCTGGTTTTCATGGCAGAAATATGCTCGGAGGTTTGCTATTGCCTGCCGAGGGACGACCGCTGTTAAGAAAAAAAAACATTTTTCTATATTTTTTTTTCGATGTTGCTTTGCTCAGGGCTTCAATCAGGGCCCTGCAGAGTGGTAGCGCGCACTGCTAACCTCTACACCACAGCGGCCGCCAAAACTAGAAGCCAAATATAGTAAAACTGCGTTTGTAATTTCTTTCTCTGGCGTCAGTGTTTTTTTAAAAGGACTTTGAAGTTTCAAAGATTTTATGAGTTCCAAGAATTATTTAAAATTTTCAGATAAAATTCTTTAGAATTGAGATTAAACAAGTAATTTTTAAGCAAAAACCAAAACCGACTTAAAATCTTATATAATAATTTATGATAATTTAATTTCTTCATGATCCAATGATCGGATCTAAACCAAATGAATATGGAACCACCTGGGGTACCACCATTGCTTTAAAAAAAGAATTATAGAAATCGGTTAACGTGGTCCAAAATTATGCGGTAACATACATAAAAAATAAAATAAAAATATTCCGACGAGTTGATAACCTTCTCCTTTTATTGAAGTCGGTATAGGTTTAGCTACCTGTTTAACAAAAACATTTCAAACATTGAAACACATTAGTAATATTCGACAAAGTTTCATCAAAATTTCAAACTTTTTAATCAGAACTTATAGAAAATATTTTGGTACGTAGATTTGTACCCCATTAAATTTTAGTACATGTTGCAAGTTTGACGTAGCTAGGGCTTACCGGCAAATTATGCTCCTTATTTTTTTTTATATAGAGGGAAATGCACAACAATGTTAGCAAAAAAAAAAACTACCAAAAATTAACGGTAATTTCTAGTTGCTTTAAATTTGTAGGAATTGGATTTTTTCTGCAAATTCGAATTAAAAATTTTAAGTTTTCCGTAACATTTGCTGAAATTCATAGAATTTTTATAACCTTTTACAAAATATAAAATTTTGACTTAGATAGTTTTTGTTAGATAGTAAGCTATACTTTTAGAAAAAATTAATAAACATAAAAAAACAAAAGAAAAATAGCCAAAACTTATTTAAAATATCGCATTTTTATTTATTTGTCCGCCACTGGATGCAAAAGGAATTACGTTTAAGATTAAAAAAAATCCGTGTAGGTATTATCCTGTTGTTCACTTTGCACCGCAAATAGCTACACAATCCCTTAGAGATATAAAGTTATTGCTATTTCCACCGCAGCCACCGTAAATAAATACTAGGCACCTCCCCACAGTGGGATTAAAGTAGTATCGCCGAATGGCAGCACGACACTCACCAGTTACAGGAGGTTGATAGCAAACTGCAAATATACTTGTATGTTAAAAACTCTTTTAATTTAAAAAATATTATAACATTTTTTCTTGCAAAATACTTGAAGTACTTTTTTTGAACTTTCCACGAGTTCTTTTCACTTTTATTAAAATATTTTTTCTTTTAATTAATTTTTGCTAGAAATTAAATACCTCTTTCTGATTCCGCCTTAGCCGCCAAAATATTCATAAGGACGACTAGCAGAGATATACCCAACAGCACACGTAGACCAATCATTTTCTGTAGTATTTACTATAACTCTATCCAGACGATGACTGATGTACTAATTAAAAATACAGACAAATTTACTGTAATAAGTAAGAATCAATCAAGAACTCACAAAAGGTTTAAAAGGTTTAAACAGACAATAAACGTTGTTTAAGTGTTGCAGTTGTG